TGTTAATACGTAAATAAGAAGATACTCACAATTGTTATTTGAGAATAAATTATTATTATTATTATTATTATTATTATTATTACTATTCGACTGAAATAATCGTCTTTTCGTCAGAGATTTTAAAATCAGAAGAGAATTTCCGGAATTAGGCGAACGGCAGGATCATCTAGTTTGTGATCTGAAGATAAGTAAAATTTCATCAACAGCGTGATCAACCACACAAACATCTCAACCTAATGAACTATAAGGAATTTTAGGTCGTCATGAGATGACCTAATCTATAAAAATCGTTTTATTCAGTCTTAATTCGTTAGTCAGTTTGTTAAAATTTATATTATTTGTTTAGGATATAATAATATTTTTACAGTCACAGTGTGTGAAAAATTTGAATTTCATTATTTCTGAAATCAGATTTTCTGCAAACTCCATTCGGCTAATCAATTAGCGGTGTGAGATTTAATTCTTGGAGAGGTTAGAGCCTCATAATCTGTGCTATGATTGCAAATGTATTTTGGATATTGAGAGGTTGTTTTCTGCTATCATCAGACTTTATTTTAAAATTTACTAATATAGTTGATGCCAGTGTCTTTACTTCAGTTACCACGTTGATTCTAATTCAGCATATGAGATGTATTTCTCCGCAGTCTTGTGTGTTATCTGCTTGTGTGTGTAGTTGACAGATAGACACTCATACAAACAGATCATATATGAAAAAATTTGAATAAAAAAACTGTAAGCTTTTCTGTCATTAGAATATTTCATTATCTAAATACAAAACTATATCATATAACTTGATAGGGGGAATGTACTATAATAGAAAAAGCTAATGTCATCAACGTCTATGCATCTGAACAATTGAGGTTATTAGATTAAAATGTGACTTTCTTACAGCATTCTTATATAATTTATATCATTTTTATGTGAAATAAATTATTACCAAATAAAATATTCTCTTAATCAACATAGTTATAGAAACCTGCAGAAATAAAATGAGTTGGTAATATTTCGTGATATCCATCAAGGCCTTCAACTTCTGCAGATACATCAATTCTGGAAAGACAATAAGCTTGAAGATGCTTAGCAATATCAAATAACAAATTTACGTACTAGATGAATTTTTAGATCCTATAATCTAACTAACATCTCAACCTCAGTCACTTTCTTTTCTCTGTTTACTTCTCTCCCAGTATTTGTCAACTGCACATCGTCTTCATACACACATTGGTTCCTCTTCTAATACTATACTGATTTCAGCTCATCGTAATTCCAACGTTTTGTATTGTCACACTGAGCGTTATATCTCCGATAATTGTTTCTCCATCTGTCATCGTGACGAATATTGTAGCTCTCAGTGACACTAATCATGTTTCAGTTAATTGTGTTGCTTTGACTTTCTTTATTTTTTGAAACTGTCAGGGAGCACACTTTAATAGGACATAAGCATTAATGTTGAACAAAACAATGTGAATGATTACTTATTTGTACAACTAGATTTTAGTAAGTTTCAGTCATCACTACAATCAATATTCAGACAGTGATGGAACACAATTTGTAGCCTGGAAGCACTGAATCATATTTGAATCCAGTTATTGGTCTGTTCGAATTCTTCGGGTGACAGCAGTGTTGGATGTGCACTGCTGGTGTGTCGTATACCAGACGGAAAGGCCATCCAGTGCATTCGTGTTTCTAATAGAGATCTAACAATGATTGATTCACGATTTCGGATATTATTTACTTGACTTGATTTGTGAGCGAATTCAGCTGTCAACATTTTTGGTAATTATTTGCATTGAAGGCTTCGTAGGTTTTTTAGTCAGATATGTCATCACTTCTCATCAAAACCAATATCATCTCATGAACGTATTTTCATTCTATTGAACATCAGTCGTAAAATATCTTCTCACATTTCATATATCTGTGCATTTCGTCGAAACAGCTAGGGTTTCTGTATTTTATTTCAAACAAGAGAATGCTTGCATGATTGAACTGAATGTCTTCATGCAAACTGACAGTTCTAAACATTGATTAACGAACAGATGTTTCAATAAATATCCGAGTATGAATTTAGCAAGAAGAAGAGGGTGAGTCCAATAGAGTTTAATTAATACATATTGTTTTCCATATTCAACTCTCATTCATATTATTACCAACGTTTTATTCGTTAAATAGTTTCAGTACGAGTGTTAGCATTTTATATTATGAATCAAGCTTGATTCGGCTGTACCGATTTTCGACCTGTCCGACACAGCTTTTATAAGCAGCCATTCCATTTGTCTGGTTTTAAACTGTACAATGCTCAAGACGATTGATAGTATCCCTCAAAACAGCAAATAAAACAGAGAATTGATTTTTCGGCAATGTCAGATCGAACGTACACCTAACTATAGATTTCACATCTCGAACTTGAAGGAGAGTAAACGCCCAGTCTCTCTGAGCTTATTTCACCCCAAAAACACATCATTTGCGAGCAAATGCCATTCAGCGCACGATCTCATCAACCGAACTGAAGACACGTGTTTTTGTGCCTGGATGCCAGTTAACAAATGTCATCGAGCCTAGAGTGTCCTGGCATTCAGCGGCAATACTGTCAGACCCGTACGGCTGCTTCACTACAACAATCATCCAAAGTCGCCCTAAGGAACCTGCACATCTACAACCCCTTAATCATACTTACTACGGAATAATAATCATTAGGCGAACGAGCAGCTTATTAGGCGAATAGAGTGGAGACATGTTTTCAAATCATTCTGTGTGAATTAACCCGGCACCAATGCTCTGCATCACAGATGTCTGCTGCACAATTACATTATGTCAGACTGTTGAATGCCGTCAGTTCATTGAAGGACTCATGACTTCACAAAACATACAGTGACAAAAGACGATAAAAATTAACGCTGGAGCTAGGCTCAGTTGTTCTATCCGCGTCCAAAGCGTTACACTGATTTCAAGCACCTTGAAGTTGCATCTTTTCATTTCTGCAGCAATCTGAAATAGTCTTTCGGTCTTGCCCGATATTTGTAAACTCTACGTACCTAAAATAAATGTTGCTCTGATTGCGAAAATAAGAGCATATTTCTCCTGACTCCAGAAGGAACTCATATTTCATCATGCGACGTCACTACTCTTTTGAAAGAAGACATTTCAACTTCCAGTGTAGAGTCGAAATTGTTTGAATTAAGTTTACTTGTTGGCTTCTTTCAGGCAAGCTTGTTTCCTACAAGATAGTGTCATGAATTGAAGCACAACCTTCCTCGTTAATCCACGATTGCGACAGTAGCCACAGAGGGGTTCCGGCCGTGGTTTCGGAACTCTAGTGGATTTAATTTGAGTCACAGTTATCCTCTCGGTGGAAGATTTGCAGGTTGTAAATCCAAGTTTTCATTATTGAAACGCAGATTAACTGCTCAAGCCTCCTCGTCAAAATACCTTATAAACGGCATATTGATCAAACGCTTTTAACGTTGATATCAAAATTCAAAGATTGAAACTTTCAGCAATCACAAGTTTTCGCGTTTCTATTAACATTTCGCCTTTTGTTACATTTATTTCAGATATTTATTCTGGCTATGTGACTTAGTGTTCGTACGTTGACTAGGCAACATAATGAAATTGTCTTGTCTTGCAAACCTTTTGGCTGTTCTGTGATAAAAACACGCGTGTCTCAAAAGTTTGGAACTAAGAATTTACTGCAAAAGTAATCGCAGTTGAATGTCACTGACAGGAACAGTTTGATACAGCGACGTTCTCAATAAGAAATTACAAATAGATAGAGTGCACAGTAAGTTTTTTTGGTGGTTTGTTAAGAACCATGATGTATTGTACGGGAAGGGTGCTATCACCCCGAAATTATTTTTAACCCTGTTTAAGACGTACGCGCGCCCACACTTGGAGGTTCACAACGTCATCGCACCCCTTTTGCTTAAAAGAGACAAACCTCTTGGATCGAGTGCAGAGACGGGCAACCAAATGGGTGGTAGGGTTGAAAAATAAACCTTGCGATGATAGACTACAGCACTTGGGATTATTCCCATTGAGTTACGGGAAAATCAGAGGTGATCTGATCATGGCGTACACCATATTAAGCACCCGAAACCATCCCAAAGTGTGCATCACCACCACTCCCCTCGAGGCAATCCTCGAGAGATTGCACATCAAAGAGCAGATACTCAGATTCGTGCACACGTTTTCTCATTGCGAGTCGTCGCAACTGGGATCGCTATCCCAGCCAGGGTAGTTACAGCTTTCTCAGTGGACTGCGTTAAGAATAGACTTGATATTCACGTACTCACATACAGACTATCATTTCCCTCTTGGACAAGCTGTCCCTGATGCATATCTTGAGACCTGCTAGTTGTTACCATTTCCATCTCCTCAGATCACTCAATTAATCTACCTCGCCTATTCCTCTCCCTTGCTTACACTACGGTCCTCTCTCACAATCTTCACTACCAATTAATAAACTAAAATCATCTATATATTACTCAGTTCTGAAATTTTACTCATAATGTCATTTTAATTTATCCTTATTATCCTTATCACTCTCCACATTGCAACTAACTGATCTCCTGTCTGGTAATATGACGGCTACTGGTATCCAGCAACACTACTGCCCTGAAACAAACATTATCATTCAAATCCCGAGACATACAAACTCACAACCAACTGCCAACTGACTAGAATTAGACAGTCGAGTGGCTAGACCTCCATTCATTGAACATTACCGAAAACCTGGAACCGTACAGAAAGAACAAGAATCGAGCGCGAATCAATGAAACTGGTTTACACTAGTTCGTGAAAAAGATATTGAATATTGGGTTTGGAAAGCGCTTGATACAAGCTGTGACCTAGAGGTGCGCTTACATTGGGTGCAGGCTTCCTGTAGGCGCCCTGGATTTTGAACTGTGAAAAGGGATAAAAAAGGTAATATTAGGCGATTATATATATATGTATATATGTATATATAGGACCATAATAGAATTTAACTTGTCATGTTGAAGTAGACAATGCTGTGGTAAGTCGAGGAAAAATTCAGTGACTACTATCATTAAATTAGAGTATCATAACCCACATATGAAGGAGGACAGCAATGAAGAAGGAAGAGTTTCGGAGAGTTTCTGGTGAATAAAAGAGAAATTGAAGTAAAACACTGCATTTACGAACGTCGAAATCGAAATTACAGTAAAAAGAGTATACTTTGTAAAAAAAACATTGTTATTTTTAATTTTCAATCATCCAACTGTTCTTTTTGTAAAGGCTAATGTCTAAATCATACTGTAAGCGTCCGACTAAGCATGTTGCGTGTGTCTTGGCAGAATAGCGACCTCAACATGAGCCTCAGAAGTAGCAAGCGTTTAAGAGTAACCTTAGTACCACTGATTGGTCACCGCATCAATCAAAATAGCTAAAGGTGAACAAAATGTTCTGCCCAGAAACATGGGTGGTTTGAAGTCATCGTCCAAACCACCATTAGGTTGTTGAGATAATATTTTGTATTCTACTTGACGGTAGTTGTTTCACATCCTATCTAGAAACGCCATTTCTGCATGTTCCTTTCACAAACTTGACTGACTTACAACTTGTGAACTATTAGTTAGGGGTCAATGCAATACAGTTAATATTTACGGAGAAAATGTACTGATTTTCAAAGAAGCTACAAGCATTTAGGATGAAGTGGCAAAGATGTGTTTATCGAAGTAGGCAGCAAAGTTGAAGAGTATTGTGGTTAAAATTGGGGCAATAGATAACTTTAAGGGTCAAATGATAAGTTAATAGAGTGTAGTTGAGAACAGTGAAACTTATAATAGGCAATATGAAACTCATACAGTTATGAGTGTTAGTAAATTTGTGACCAGGACAGTAGAGTGCGTTCCAGTCAACCAGTTTAAAGTTGAACAGTGCCGTAGGCCTTTTTCTATCAAAATACAATGTGAAAACGAAAGAGATTTATATTCCGTTAGAAAAATTTAATGCTGCTTGTGAGGTTAAAAATTAATGATTAAAACGTAGCATTGAATTCATAGTAGTTTAGGTGCGTGCAGAGCTAATAATACCGAATCGGGTTGCGAGTGAGTTGGTGCAACTGAGAGCTTCATTAGGAAGTTGTACCGACTCATGCTATGAGCATTTTTGAGGGAAGACTAATCTATATAAGTGCATATTTATTGTGGAAGAGGTTTTCACGAGTCTTCGATTAAAACTACACAAGTTTCACCGTAGGTACTTTATTGTGAAGGTTATGTATGCATGTGCTTTGGATAAGGACTAGACTGCAAGTTAGGCATTAGTCATATGCAACGTACAACTTTGTACGTAAGTACATCAGTTCATGTTGCAATACCACATCAGCACAGAGATATAATTGACAATTCAAATCCAATAGTACAAGAGGTAGTAAAGGTATTAGGAGTAATCGAAGAGATTGAGATTAGAAGGTATTCGCGAAATATGATTCAGTGAGAAAAGTTTAGAAAGTCAAGCCAATCTTGAAGCAACATTTCGCATTTGGAGGGTGAGAACTGCATACCGAACATGCTTGCATTGTTACTCAGGGTGGTCAGAAGATTGCATTTTGTCAGCGTTATCACCGAATAGAACTGTGTCATCGGCATATTCTAAGTCAATAAGCGAGCCTCCTGATAAAAGGTCTACTCCTGAAAATTCAGACGACGATAAGTATATATCTAGGAGCATGTCTATGATAAAATTAAACAAGAATGGAGACAGTGGACATCCCTGATGGACACCACTTGATGTAGAGAACTCATATGACAGTTCGCCATGAGCTCTCACTCGACCAGTAGTTTTACAGTAGAGGGCAAGTATAAGGTTAATGTACTTCTCTGTTACACCTTTTAATGACACACTGCCACAGAACCTCACAATCAACGGAGTCAAATGCCGCTTTAAGGTCCAGGAAAACAACTATCGTAGGACGCCTCAATGTGTTTCTGTGTTCCAGGACTTGACGTAGTGTGAAAATGTGGTCTATACAATCATGTCCAGATCGAAAACCTGCCTGGTTTTCTCTAGTCTGCTCTTCACGAGCTTTCGTTATGCGTTGAATTATTATTGAGGCCAATATTGCGGACACTTAATTATTTAGATTTACTCCCCTGTGATTGTCACAAGAAGACTTTTGTCCTTTCTTATTGATTGGGACAATCAGCGACTGAGACCACTCAGATGGGATTGTGTCCAGTTCACCGATTCTACCTAAGATCTCAGCCTACCTAGCTGCCAAAACTGGACCATCATCCTTAAATATCTCAGCGGTAAGCCTATTGGGACCTGCAGCTCGTCCTCGTTTCAGATTTCCCAACTCTCCCTTAACCTAATAAAGACTAGGGGGACTTACGTCGATTTGCCATTCAGGATGACTGGCGATGGTGGGTAACGGAAGTGTGGTTCGAGGCCAGTTGAACTGATCCCTGAAGTGTTCTGCACATCGGTCCAGTCTCTTGGATTCAGAATGGATAATAAGACCATCCTTTTCCGAAATAGCCTCACTCACATTTGGGTTCCTAATACCGGTTTCCTTGATAAGTCGGTACAACTCTCTGTTGTTGACTATCGCCACTGCCTTTTCCATCGCTTTTGCATTCGACATCCACCACTGTTCACGGTCGTTACGTAGGCTTTTTATCGGCCTACGTCTAAGCTGACTCCGCTCCTCATCACACTCAGAGCCAGGCGGGATGAGTTTTCGAGCATCAATCACTTGGGTAGATGCTACTGAGATCCACGGCTTCATTCTAGCCTTATGGATTACCTTACCAGAAGATATCACTGCTGTTTCCACAGCCTTCTTGATATCATTCCAACCTGCCTCCGGATGGGAGTCACTGACATGGTTGCCTAACTCTCTTTCTAGTTGCTCCTGAAATATATTCTTAGCCATATCATCATTAGGTAAAACACGAAGAGGTTTCCTTACTGTGTCTTTCCTACGTCCAGTAAACCTCAAACAAATGCGCGCTCGCACTAGGGCATGATCTGAATCTGAACATGTGCCCCACAACGAGCGACAGTTTTCTATCGAACCTCGCCATCGGTGGCTGATGGCGATGTGATCTAGTTGAGTCCAACGTTGAGACGACTTCGGAGGCCGCCAGGTCAACAGATGCTTTTCTTTATGCCTAAAGTTAGTGTTTGCTAGGAATAGTTGGTTATCTGAGCATGGTTGCAACAGACGGTCGCCATTGTCTTTTCTCTCAGCCGCAACACCATAACATCCACCTAGGTGTCTCTCATTCTCATTCAGTCTACCTACTTGAGCATTGAAGTCAGCAGACGTTATTACTACTTCGGAGCGCCTAGCTTTTTGGAGGAGGTCCGAAAGCTTTCTGTAAAACTCATCTTTAACCTCGTCTGAACTGCAGTCAGTTGGTGAGTAGGCAGATACGACGATAAGGCAACAGCGAGTATCTCTGTCTTTCCGAGTCCCTACTGTCCCGTTTAGTCGGACAGCGCACAAGCGACTGTCTACTGAGATCCAGTCTAGGAGAGATTGTTCAGCTCTACGACTCAGTGCTATACCTACACGAGCATAACCCCTGGAAGCAGCATCAGGGCTTCCAGATACACGAAGAGTAAATCGAGCTGCTTCTTTACTTTGACAAGGTGAAGTCAGAATAATGATTTTACTAGGATCCTGTATGCGCGTTTCCAAGACGCAGCATACATCGATGGCACGAGATTCTAAAGTCCTAGCTAAGGAAGCAAGTTGCCCAATTTGACACAATGTCCGTACATTAAGAGCTCCAACATGTAGTCTAGAACGGGGTTTCAAGAGACCAGGAATGACGTTTCGTGAACTCTGTTTGTTTGCGTTAGCGGTGCAGTGAGATAAGGGAATGTGAAAAGAGTTAGTTGTGGAGAGAGGAGAGGTATGTGTGGGTGTAGGAAGGGTTTGATTTCGACCAATTTGGTCTCGTGTGCTGTTACAGATATGAGGGAGGCTGTCACTTCTCGACTGCCCACACCGTGGAAGGTTGTTTCTTGAAGGACCTGAAAAGGAAGGTAGATTAGTGTTGGTCTTACAAACCTGGGAGCGTGACCGCAGAGTCCAAGGGACAACTGCTTGAGGCCGGTCACGCACGGCCTTTTCATGAATTTTTTTGGCGTATTAGCTCCGCTCTTGAAAGCCCTTAGTAAGCACCCTACCGCCGGAGACGGAAATCCGTGAGGTAGAGTGAGGTGTGACACTTTTATGGTTGCCCTTCTCTAACCCTTCCTTCCTTGTGAGAAGGCATCATCGCTGCAGATGCTGGTTGTCCGAGGGAAACACCTTACTGCTATCCCAACCCTCTGCCGTCAGCAGTACGACTTCGCCCTCAGACCCTGAGTAGCTGCTTTTAGTCTCATCGTTCTCCAATCGACCTCTCTGGCTGGCATGGTAGAACCTTCAGGAACATATGTTCCAGCCAGTATAGCTCGGTTGGGTCATGACGATAGGCGAGCGCGACCACCACGTCAAGGTAGCAGCTGCGGTCGGTTCTACGGTTGGTGCCATACACGGTGTAGTTTTCGATATAACTGAGGCTTATGTATCTTACATGTATGGAACCTCACCTCAGTTGATTACTATTATTCACTGACCAATCTGTTGTTGCAGCGCACTCTAACATAGCTGTCATGTTTGCTACCCTTTTGCTACATTTAGGCGTGGCTAGATCTAATCACTCATCATATGAGTTTATTGATGACTGACAAAGCAGCATGGGCACTGTTCAATAACGGTCGGAGAACACTAAGGCAGGCAACTTCCTCATTTACACGAGTGAATTACAACCCTAAGAAAGAATCTCCTTCGTGTGAACTAAGACGTGTGGGTACCGGTACATGTTGTCCTAAAGTACTTTACATTAAAGCCAGCAGGAGCTTTCTATCGAAAGATATTTCAGATCATTCAGTGAAAATGTGATGCATTAAAACCTTTCAACATCAGGCACCTGTCCTTCTTACTTTAGAGCTCAGTATTCGGAGAATAGAACCATCAATTACTCAGCATGAGCCACAATAGTTGACCCTGGTACAACTCGCAAAGGTTAGTTCGCAGCTATTGACTTCACAAGTTCCCCTGTCATAAAATTCACAAAACATGGAACGAATTTTCACATTATTAATTGTGTGTATAATTATGCCATTCTATTTTACTCATTATTTTCAACCACGTAGATAATACTGCGGTGTATTTTACTCACAACATAGGCTATAAGTAATATTCTATAGAGTGTCACCCTGGTTTTAAGGCTCAAGTGAAAAGTATCGAATATGTATTTACTGCGCCGTCTGGATGCCTGTGGGGACAGCAAAATGTAGAACAGCCAAGAATTCAATCGTTTTATGTATGGATGTTTTATGATGCGATGTACGCATTTTAGGCTATTAGATTGCGTCTCCAAAGAAATCGCTAGTCCAACATGGTCTTTTACCTTCTTCTATTACTACAGTACCCTGATAATTCCAGAATGATAGCAGTCTTGAACCAACTAAGTTTCAGCGACAACTATGATACACTAATACCAGTAGTTCATGGAATTAATGTTCTGGACTATAAACATTCCTGTTTAAAATCCAGTAAACTTTATGTATTTTCAAATATCAATTGAGTAAACAATGGAACTTATCCCCTTCGTGATCATATTACAAGAAAATTATATATCCGAAACAAATAGTAGGTACGAAATAATTTTTGTTTATCCAACTCAACTTTAATTAATCCTTGCTCAGTGTCAATTTCAACTGTCCTGGCTATGGATTATCATTCTGTCGAGGTATTTGAGACGTCTTATCACTGAAAAGTTCTAGTAAAATGGGTAAGTGAACGCCTTACTATAATACGATCATATATTTTAAGTATTTGTCTATATTCACTCAGTTTTGAGGCAAAAATGAGATTTTCTTAGCGAGTTCTGTTCTACATGTACAAAATATGATGCGCACTTAGTCTAATTCTTACACACCTTTATGAAAGCTAACTATCTACGTGTATGTGTTTGATGAGCTGATAAAGTACGCGAAAGGTCTGTTGATTGTGTGCCAACCTGTGAGTTGAATTTCATTAGTTTTGTTATATCAATCTCATACGATTCTGGTTGAAACTAATATACCGTGAAAAACTATAGAAACACATTTGGAAACCTCCTAACTGAGTTATGATAGTATTATCGTGTGAAAAACTGCAAGCCTAGTTGCCAGTTCGAATTTCTTAAATCAGTGTTTCAATTCGCCTGAAGAAATCCGAAGAGGCATGATGATTTTGTATGAAATACTTAAAAATTATTAAACTCGCAAGTATTTTGTAGCTAATCAAAATAATTTCAACATACAATAGCATACATTCGGTTTAATAATTAGGCTGACAATTTTAGGGATCTGCATATTTGCGGCACTTTCTTAGTTACTTAGTTTATCACCTCTTCCCTAAGATACATAACTTGTAAGTGGTCATACTCAATATTTTTAAAGTGCTGACGGTTCATTACAGTAGCAGTCACTCTATATTGATCTTTGCTCGTAAAGACCAACTGGTTGAAATGAGAATTCAAAAGGTTCCACGTATATCATTCTTTCAAACTAGTTTAGGAGATGTCTTAGCAAAAACCATAGATATAAAATCCAGACCACGTATTGCGAAAAAGTTCCAACAGTACTTGTTAATCCTTTTCTTTAAGCTTATGTGAGTGTTTAGTATTCTCTCGATTTAATCAATTGCAGGTACAGACACCACTTCTGTTAAAAGTAGGTCCCAACAGTCAAAGACTAGGTGGGAAATTCTGCATACCATGGATATTATACCCGTCCTCATATTCTAGAATCATTTCCTATTGTTCTACACATCAAAATCAGATTACTTGTCAGTCTTGAATAGGAGTTAAACCTCGTAACTCCATAGTTGCACAAGTAGCTATCCTCTGTAATTTTTCTAAGACATCTTAGTCACTTTTTAGACAAAGATTTTCAACCTGAATACAATTGTAAAGTTTAAATCTCACTAACTTGGTAAACATACTTGGTAAACATTCGTCTTTTGGTCAACAAGGTTCCGAACCTACTCCCCTCACTATATTATACTTCTCGAATCATATCTTCGAACCCTAATCTTCTCCATTACTGTAAATACTTCTACTATTGCTACCAATATTGAATTTGAACTGACAGTTGCGTCGCTGTGTTAATGCGGTATGGTAACCTGAACTGATGTACGTACGTACGAAGTTCTGTATTATGTCTGTCTGTCTGCTCTAAGAGAAGCTATTTATGCAGTACCTATTTGAATGGTCTATTGAAGTCTACATAGACAGGACCCACTGATTTTCCGTCGTAGTTCCAAGGCTGCTGGTTTGTTTTGTTTGCCTTAAAAGTTTTAATAATTCTTTAATTTTTGTCATGTTGCCCTTCGGAAAAAGTAGATAAATTACAGCAGTCAGTAAGTTACAACGTAGAACTTCGTACATACGTACATCAGTTCAGGTTGCCATAACACATTATCACAAAGACGCTATTGTCAATTCAAATTCCACAGTGATAGAGACAGTGGAAGTATTAGCGGTAATGGAAAAGATTAGGGTTCGAAGAAATTATTCAACGGCACTAGGTCAGTGAAACAAATTTAAAAACCGAAAGATAGAGGTAGTGAGGGATTCATAAGATTAGAATTTAAGAGAACACAAAGAGTAGATACACTTGCGCCATTGCAAACGGTTTTGAACCGTCATTCAAGGTCTCTAACCATCGATTACTATCATCTCGCATACCCCGACCAGGTAGTCGACACCTACCAACATGACTCAGTCCACTTATCAGTGAGTTTATGGATTTGTGCTATGTTTTGATCTCGCCGCCCCTAGCTTTCGTACAACCTACTCCTACACGAGTAGCTGTAGGACATAAAACATAGCTGTTCGAGGCAGTCGGTGGTTGGGCATACGTAACACATGTCCCAACCACTTCAACTGATGAAGTTTTAATACTTTATCTATCTGTCTGCATATACTTTCTCAAACATTTAAAAAAGCTGCTTTTTACAACTTTTGAAATCTGTAAACGCATAGCCTTAGTGTTTATGAGTAATTTTTATGTTACGAGTTTTAAAAAATTTGTGATTTACGGTCTCATAGAGTAATATTTTGTGTTTTTTTTAAAGGGTCCATATGTGTCTTGATAGGAGTTGTTTTCATGACTTTCAACTAGTACTGTTGAACTATATATGATGGTGAATAGTTCTCGGCTCATTAAGTTTATCACTTTCGGTTAAATCTAATTATCATTCATTATTTTCAGCTTAAACAGTGAACATTTTAAACAGTAGGTCCACGAAATTCAACATGGGAATTTTCGTAACAGATTGATGCTAAACTAAGTGTGTGCATTAGAAAGCAAGAAGGCTCTTTTTGTACACGCTTCAAGTTAACGAGCCACCATTTTGTCAACAATAGGCTACCTGGTTGGGGTCCGCGAGACGATAGTCATCGATGGTTAGAGACCTTAAATGACATGGCTCAGGTGCATCCACTCTTTGTGTTCTATGAAATTCTAAGCTTCTGCATTCCTCATAATCTCTACCTTTCTCCTTCTAAATTCATCTTATTGAATTATACTTCTCGAATCATATCTTCGCTCCCTAATCTTCTCCATTCCTCTAATACTTCTACTATCGCTATCACTGTTGGATTTGAACTGACATTTGCGTCTCTGTGCTGATGGGGCATGGCAACCTGAACTGATGTACTTATGTACGAAGTTCTGCGTTGTATGTGTCTGTCTGTCTATTTTGTCTTCAATAATTCAGGACTAAAAATTTGTCAACTTTCTGGTTGTTGATAATGAAGTAACAACATACAGCTGTAATATAACCGCCTATTCTCAGCGAACACCAACTTTAGGCATAAGGAAAAGCATCTGTTGACCTGGTGACCCCCGAAGTCGTCTCAACGTTGGACTCAACTAGATCACATCACCATCAGCCACCGATGGAGGGGTTCGATAGAAGACTGTCGCTCGTTCTGCGGCGCATGTTGGATTCAGATCATGCTCTAGTGCGAGCTCGTGACTGACGAAATCTCAGCTCGGATACAGAAGGCTCGGTTGGCTTTTGCCAACCTGCGTCACTTATGGCGTAGGCGTGATATCCGTTCTCTAATCGAAGGACGAGTGTACTGTGCAGCAGTTCGCTCCGTTCTCCTATATGGCTGTGAAACATGGCCAGTGAGAGTAGAAGATATTCGTAGGTTACTGGTTTTCGATCATAGGTGTCTTCGAAGCATAGCTCGTATACCGTGGGACAACCGAGTAAGCAACTGCTGTTAGTTAGGAAGCGAGTAGCTAGGTAAGGAATGGCAGATCAATTCGACTGAAGATGGTGAAACTTCATCAGTTGAGGTGATTGGGACACATGTTGCAGTATACCTAACCACCGACTGCCTCGTACGAGCTTTGTTTGGTAGTGTAGGAATAGGTTGGAAGAAACGTAGGGACGGCCAAACCAAAACATGGCAGAAATCCATGAAGTCATTGACAAGTGGACTGAGTGATGTTGTTAGTTGTCCACTACCTAGTTGGGGTCAGCGAGATGATAATAATCAATGGCTTGATACCCTGAATGACATGTCTCAAAATCGTTCGCGATCGCGCCGGTGCATTTATTCTTTGTGTTCTCTCAAACCCTAATCTTCTGGATTCTTCAACACCTCTAGTTTTGACTTTCTAAACTTTTCTCACTGAATCATACTTTTTGAATATCTTCTAATCCTAATCTCTCCAATTACTTCTAATACCTTTACTACCTCTTCTACTATTGGATTTGAATTGACAATTATATCTCTGTGCTGATGTGGTATGGCAACATGAACTGATGTACTTACGTACGAAGTTCTACGTTGCATCTGACTGATTGACTGACTGACTGTAATATATCCTAATAGTTTTGTTTAGTTAAGCCCTGGGTGCTCATGAGCGAAAATGTTTCCTTGTTACTGAACTGAAATTATTTTCTGTTTGCTGCTACAGTATCCAATCTACCTAAGCGTACTAAGTGGTTGAGGTCTAATGGTCTATCCCAGTGCCTTTTTATATTAAAGACTCAGTAAATATATCGATACTCTTTGTTATAGCTATTGTCAAAAATCATATAAACTATTTCTCTCTGTTACCTGAAGATTCTGTTGCTAAGATGTTAAGTGACAAGTTATTGATCTGAATTTTGTGAGAAAAGTCTTGCGTCTTTTACAGGCTTTACAGATTACCCATCTATATATTTATTAACGTATTTATTTATACGCTGATAAAAAGGAAAATCTAAATAGTCATGCACCACACAAGCCAATAAATTTATGTGTATGCTAGGATTCTAATGGAGTGTTCTGATCAAAACAAGTGGTTTTCTTAGGAAGTCACCCTCGAGCCTTCGACCCACAGGCCAAATCCACAAGTTGACGGATTAGCGTTAAGAAATACTGTCCCATGGTGACCACGGACAAATACTAGGTTCGTACGTCATTTATTTCCTCACGATCCGGGATTTGGTGTACCCCACCGGTTTAAATCTAGAGTTTTCCAACTCTCTTAGGTTGGTCCTCTGTGCCCACCGAACCGGTTTACATGCCGAACATTCCCTTTTGATCCGTTCATTTTTGTGAACAACTGTCAATCAGTCAGTTACAACGTAGACCGTGGATTGTATGCATATCACTCCAAGTTCCGATAACATATTAGCACAAAGAGATAGAATTGTTAATTTAAATCCAATAGTGGTAGAATTAGTAGCAGTGTTAGTGGCAAAAATATTATTGACTAAGTATAACACGATTTTGATCCA